TCACAGCTCTTCTGTTTCCATCCTCCTTTCTCAACAGGTTGTGGCAGACCCTGGCTCTCGCCACTGGTTGTACAGCCCTCGCCACAGCGGGTGTCTGGGCTTTGGCAAGCGCCCTAGGCATTACCTAAGCACAAATGCTACGCAATAGAAATACCAAACCAATTGAGGCTTCCTAATCACCTCTCTGTGGAGGTCTGATTTGACTCCAAAACTTTAAAACTCATGAAAAGGTTCTGTGCAAGCAACGATTTCCTTTGCTCCTGCTCCCAAATCAAATGGAACAATCTTCTGGGAAATAAGAAACTGTGGGTGGAAAAAATGGCATTCAGATAAGATTTTCCCTTAAACTATTTCTCTGTACCGTCTTTCTGATGGCATGATGCTTTGCATTGTATTTAATTCTTCATATGAACGTAGAAACTCAGACCATTAGCAGACAGCAGACACTTCATTTCCAGGTGAACATCACAAGATTGTGCCGTAGGAAGGGAAACGGATATCCTTCCTCCCTGAACACCTGAATGTTTATACTACATCTATGAAACTGTTGTAACAGTTTGGGAGAAAATTGCCGTTCAGCATAAGCAAATGTAGCAGGCCCACAGTTCTTGCTCTGTCAGGCAATGTGCACTGAGCTCTAAAAAGTATTTCTCAGAGATCAGGACAGAGTTTTATTCAGTAATGTAAAAAAACCTAAGGAAAGCTAGATTCCTGTTCTAAAATACTGGGAAATCAAAGCAAATATCTGCAATAGTCAGAAGGCAAAAGATAAAACAGATAAGAGGTTTTTTTCATAACCACAGCTAGTTCCTCTTTTTCAGATTTAATTGCATTCAGATGCTCACTTATCATTCTTCACGGAGCACTCACCTTCCTGAGTAAACAGGAAAAGAGGTGGATAGTGCCGTATTTGGGTTCCTCTCAGCCCCAGAAGTAATGATCTAATTACTTGATCAAATAGTCCCTAGGGCATGGACTAGACAAGCCACTTGTTTTCATGTGAGGCTAATTGCATTCTATACTCAGCCTCCTGGCATCTCAGCTATGCGACGATTTCCAAAGCCGGAGCGATAGACCAGCAGCCCGGAGACCAGCCCCACCTGGAAGCTGCCCTCGGTGCTGGATCACACCCTCGCACCTTCCCCGGGTAGTTGTGGTAGGGAATGATGAGAGGGGAAAGTCGGCTGTAATGAAGCCCCAGACTTTAAGATTTAATTGCAACAAAGTGCAGGAGAGGGAAGGCCTCGCCGTGCTGAGAAGATGGGGAGAATCCTTGAATTCTATCGAAATGCTTTGCTCACCAAAATGTGGGTGGTGTACTACATGGGATGTTGCACATAACAAAATGAAATCCCTGATGCCGACCAGCGCTAGATGCCACAGAGGAAGAAAACTTACTTAGGAGGCTTTTAGGCAAACCAAAGGATGCAAAGAAATCCAGAGGTGTCATATTTTTAAAGCAGTGTTCAGCAGTTCACGAAATAGTTTTTCTTTTCTAGTAGAAATCCAGTTGAACAGCTCACAATGGTGCATACCCAAACAGTTGCACAGGGAAAAAATTCAGTTTGAGATGTTTCCATCAAAAATCATGACAACTGCACATCCTGAAGTTCTGTATTTATGTTAACAGTCATGTCCCCGTGACCATGCGGTGTTTCATGTCTGCAGGCAAATTTTTTATAGCTGTAGGAAAATGGCTCCAATCTTGATGTGCCTCCATCTTTGGTAGCTCTTGGTGGTGAAATACGAAGTTTCTCTTGGATTATTGGGAGCCAAAAGTGTTGGCCATGGTCTTTTTTGCTGAATTTTTCAGAAATATACTCCTGAGCACCAGAATACAGTGCTCAGGGGGCTCCTCTTCTGCAGCACCAGACAAACCTCTGGGTAGGGGAGTCTGTCTCCTCCTGGGCTCCAGGAACCTCTTCTAGTTCAGATTTGCACTTTGTTGTGCTCAGTTCATCAAAGCGCTACCCATCACACCAGCCTCTGGTTCTGCAAGAGACCTTAACATGTGCCCTTTAATTAAATAGATCCCAGAAGTGTCAGATTTGGAAAAATCACTTCTTTTCAGCTCTTTTGCCAAAGGAGGATGGCCACAAAAGGGTATTGCTGTGGGGTCCTGACTCACTGAAGTTAATGTGGCTAGTCAAATGACCAAATTGCTCATAAATATAGTAGAGATCCACAAATAAGTGTCAATTAAGAATAATAATCCAGCCCTCTGATGTTCCCACATATTACAAATGCAGATCAATTTATATCTCCTAAAATGTCTATTTCTCTTAGAAGTTGTTACAATTTCTTGCTAATCAAATATAACAATAGGTTATACAATAACCCACTATAGAAAGGGAGACGTAGGACCGGTCCTCAGCATTGGTTTTAGAGGTGAGCCTGGAGCCCTAGGAAAGCATGAAGAACTGTACAAACCGGACTACGAGAAACTCCTCAGCAAGATAAGTGTTGGAGGCTGCTGCTGTGAGGGGATCTAAACGTACTTGGGACAATTGCTTGCTCAGCATCACCCAGCAGGGTTAGCTCTAGGAGAAGATGGGGAGAGATTAATCTGTCCAAGTATTAGACGCCTAAATCTGAGCTAGTTGCTCTCTGCTCATTTTACAGTCTGCAGGGTCTATTTGATGCAGTCGTGGGTGTTTGTCCTCACCCCGAAGCAGATGTCTAACACACGCAAACAACACTGTACAAGTCCTTATTTCTTCCTATCATCTATAAAAGCCACCAGTGCAGCAGCATGAGTCTCGGAGGGAGAAACCGCACATAATGCACCGAGTCTGTCCAGCAAAGGAAGAGGAATGGAAAGACTGAATGAACCATGAGGTGCTGCTGGGAGGATGTCAAAAGCAGTGCAAACCCGTCAGCTCACATGGGCTTAGGACAGGAATTCCAGTTTCCCTATGTAAACACTAGAAAGGAACCAGTGCCGAAGCCTGCAATTCTCCAGCGAGACTCCTGGTTTCCAGTGTAAACAGGATGCACTGCTCATGCTGAATGGGTTCGGGGTTTTTTTTTTTGCCCATTTAGCATTTGTGGAAGTGAACTCATTGGGGAATTTAGTCACCTAAATGTAGTCTGATGGTTGCATTCCACCTCCGTGATTGGAATATCTCAGAGAAATAAAGATCTTCTGTGCTGCGGAGCTGAGTGAGATACCATGATCAGCAAAAGGCGTCAATACGCTAATACAGAGTCCTGGGCCTAAATCCCACTTAATCCCACTTAAACTGCTCTGGCGGTGAAAAATGCCTTTAAAATGAGTGCCCCTTTACTTTGCCCTGAATGGCTTGAAGTCCTCAAGGTAACTGAGTTGTGTCCCCATAGGCATTGCCAAGCATGAATGTTGTTAATAGAGGTTGGAGAGGAATGGGTTGGGTGTATTTAATGGTTAAAAAGGTATTAGAGAAACAGATAGAGTTTTCCTCAACAGTTTGTGGAAGCACTGATGGCCCACTGTAGGATTAGCTGTTTCTTACTATGAGAATGAGGACATGATATTTCTCATGGTAAATCAGATCAATTGTCCATCTTCGCTAATAACAGCTATCCATTCTTACTGCATTGAAAAAAACCTAAGGTATCATTCAGACATTTATGGAAATAAGGAGATGAAAATAACCAAGTGTATTAAATCTTTTTTGAAAAGCAATTAATCCGGTGCCTGATTTTTTTTATAATTACTGTGTCATTCCCGTTGGGAACCACATGACTTGGGTATCAGGTGGAAGCAGAATTTGCTCAGGATCACATGTTTTTCCTGGAAAAAAAATAGGATGTAAACAAATATGTAAAGCACGTACAGGTGGAGCCTGTTCAGGTAGTTAGTGGTCAGGTGTCCATACCCCTGGGCTCCCTTGTTTCCGGAGATGACGCCATGCAAGCCATATAAAAAGGTTTGCATTTTGATGCTCACACCAGTTCATTTGACTTCTCCCTCACTCATCTGCATTGGTGAACTGGTAAGTCTTTCTTGGATTTATCAGGGAATAATGCAATGGCTGTGTTGCTTGGTTGTTCTGGTCAAGAGAATATATGACTGGTCACAGTAGAGCTTTGCTTCTGGTGTTCCAGGATTTGTCCTGGAATGGGGGAGACGATGTTCGACTCTTATTTAGAGTTTGCTCTTCCTTAAGGAGCTTGCAAATGTCTTGCCACCTCTTCAGAAATTGTGGCTGTCTCTCATCCTCCTTTGTATTCTATCTTCACTAATTTTTTCATACCTCATTAAGTCTGGAAATTAAATAAATTAGTGGACGCTGCAGAGTAAGTCTTGGGACTTCAAAAGAGATGGGTGGGAAGAAGCGTTATCTGGAAGAAGGAAGCTGCAGAATACCTGAGGGCAAAGCTGCAGGAGACATCTAGGAGAAGTCAAGATGAAGAAATGATTTGGAAATAGGAGCTGCAACCTCTGGGCCAACCCTTGTCTTATGAAAGGATGAGCCCATTAATTTTGATATAGCTCCAATGATGTACCATGATATACAGCTGGAGGATTTGGGATAATGTCTGAATTTGTGGTCCTTGGGCTTTATCCTCGGGCATTAGCAGCTCAACGTCTACACAAAGGGGGATGTGCTCTGTGGTGTGCGCAAGGAACTGAAGAAGTGATAAGCAAAAGATGGGCCCTGGAAAGTCTGCTGATTTAATTAAGAAAATAAGGAAACGAACTATTTTCACGTCACGGCTTCTACAAAGTTTAATTCTATAAAATTCAGGGTTTATGGCTCTAGTTTTCCTAACAGTGATGCCTGCAGGTTCCCGAGAAAGGAAGGAATAATCTGGCAGTGTTAGTTGCATATGTCTAAATCCAGAAATCATTCACTCATGCGATTTTTTCTAACAGTCCTTTTCTCAGTCCAACAGCTAATTGCTATATATGTTTCAAGATCTCAGGTCGTGAACTGTGGCTCAAGAAGAAAGGACGAGTGTTCTGATTTTGTATCTCTTTTTATCTTTGTCTTTAGCTTTACCAGCACCCCAGAAGGATGTCTTGCTACGAGCAGTGCAAACAGCCCTGCCTGCCCCCCCCCATTTGTGTGCAGAAATGCGCCAAGTGCGTGGAGCCCTGCAAGACGGTGTGCGTGGAGCCCTGCGGCAGCGTCTGCGTGAAGCCGTGCCCCACGCCGTGCGTAGAGGTCTGCCCAACGCCCTGCACCACCCAGTGCGTGGAGCCTTGTGCCACCCAGTGCACCACCTCCTGCAGCACCCAGTGCGTGGAGCCCTGCAGCACCCAGTGCGTGGAGCCCTGCGGCACCCAGTGCGTGGAGGTCTGCCCCCCTAGGTGCATCGACGTCTGCATAAAGCCATGTGCCACTCAGTGCCCAACCCATTGCACCACCCAGTGCGTGGAGCCCTGCGCCACCCAGTGCTGCACCAAGTGCGTGGAGCCCTGCCCACCCTCCTGCGTGGAGGTGTGTGCCACCAAGTGCGTCGACTCATGCGAGACCGTGTGCCTGGAGCCGTGCAGCACGGGCTGCTCTCACCCATGCTGATGGCCTTAACGCATGAGCCTTGCGTGCAGCCCTGATGCTTCGGTGCATTGCAATATCCATAGGCTCATGAGCATCCACGGAATGAAAAACAGGCTACAGACCCACCGGCGACGTACTGAGACCTCTCCTGACCTTGTTGCCCCATGCTCTCTTTGTCTTGGAAAACATTTTTCTGATTGTTTCCAGCCTATATCTTTGCTTTCTTACACTTCTGTTACTGCTATCTCAGCACCTTTTCCTTGGTAACTGCAGTTGGCCAATATTATACTGCTGGGCATCTTGGGAAGTTATTTAGCAATGGCGGTGCTGTAAGCAGTTGGTGTTGGAAGATGTCTTCCCTTCTATTCTTTAATTCTCATCTTGTCTTTTAATGTATGTCCTCTTGTCTTTTAATGTCTATGTGCAGCAATAAAAATTGACCATCGATGGCATCATGTGTCTTCAGTCTTTCTTTCATTTCCCTGTTTCCATGTCTTCAGATCCAAGAACGTCTTCCTTCAGTTTTCTTTCTAAAAGCTGTTGTGGTTGTGGAAGATTTGTGCCTGCAATGCAGTGCTGTAAACAGAGAGCGCACGCTTTATAATGTGGAGCAATGTCTTCTAATACCATAAACAAAACATCATCCGGGTCAATACTTTTCTGATGGATATAGAAAAGAAATAGCTTGTCCTACTTGAAAATAATGATAGAAATCCAATTTTCACCTTTATTAATGATAGAATTTTGATCTTTACATCTCTAGATTTTGGAGGCAAATCTTAGAAACTGTTGAAAGGTAAATTTAAGTGGAAGAAAGCCCCAAATCCAAGAAAGAAGGACTCGAAACCTTCTTGCTGAGATTTTAATTATTTCTTAAAAACATTCTGATGGAGATGAAAATGGTATTTTTGATGAATTCTTCCCATGAACCTCACTGACTAAATATAGAAAGTAGGGGATTTGGCTTCAGGAGATGAATCTTTTTGTGGTTTAGGAACAGGTCTGAGCCCTGCAAGATTGCAGGTTTGTTCCTAGGTTTGCTGCAGATACTTTGTGTGGCTTTGGGCAGGTCTCACTCTTATTATCTATCCGTTTCCAATCTGCAACAAGGAGAAGTCACATCCCTGACTGATAGAGTGGTTGGCATTTCGGGTTCATTAACGTCTGGCAGGTACGATAACATTTTAATTCACTTATAAATGCATGTTCTTTATTTGGAGTCATGATTTTGAAACTGATGGAGGCCCGTGGTCCCGAGGGACGTTATACCCATTTAAATGCTGAGTTTCAGAGATAATGCTCCCATTGTCTTCCAGACTGTGCATGTGACTTGCTTACCTCTGTCTCTGTGATGGCCACACAATTTCCACGTCTGGGATGTAGAGAATTGCTATCCACCTACCATGTCATTATGGCAAGGGTGGAGAACATCTAATCTAGAAAAGAAAAGAGTTATATTTAGGTGTGTGTAAACACTGTTACCAAATCAGCTTTTAATGAAACCTTGTGTGCAGGTGTAGAGAGTTTGACAGTAGATTCTTTTTTGTGTTATTTCTGTCAACACCAAAAGGTGACACCATCAAACAGGAATAATGGTAGGCAAAACATGTCTCAGTAAGGCAAACAAATTCTACACGTGGACACACCTTTCAGTTCAGATAGACAAAGCAGGGGTAGGTGGACCAGATATTCAACAGCACAAAAACGGAGGGGGAGACCAGGAACGTGCACCTCTAATTCCCGCTGTTGAATGCAAACCTTTCGGGATTCAGCAATGAACTCTGCCTCGCTAATAACTGCTTGCTGCTGCCACATGCGTAGCGTCAGTGCCCACTTTCAAGCATGGAAAAAGTCTTAGTCAGGACGTCATATGCAGCTACTAATGAGATCCATCCCATAGGTTAGTCACCTATGACTGATTTCCAAGTCTCTTCATCCAGCTCTATCAGCTGTGTTAGTCATTTACATTTTTTCCTTCTCTCCCTTTCTGCTGCGAGCATTGCACCAGGCGCAGTAATCACGGGTGGGAGCACGCAGCTCTGAAAACCCCAGAGGAAGTGGCAGAAGCGACCTGTTGGTTTGTGCTCATCACGCTTCCTGCGCCTGTAGGAAAACACGTTGCAAAAGCCCTGACACACTGCTCTCCTATGCACCTGTGGTCAGTTCAGAGCATTGCTGAGATTCCCCTGTGTATTTACCACAAATTAGTGACATTTGGTCCATGTCAACCCCGGGGTCATTAAGACCCCTGGTAAATCAGGCATGAATGAGGGATGTTAAGAGATGGGATGATGTTGTTTCCATTAGCACCTTCTGCTCTCCTACACCCAGTGGAAGCCGCGTCCATCATCTCTCCATGTATCACACATCTGTAATGGAGACTGGGCTGTAATTCATAGGGCTGAATATGACCCCACAGGGCATAGCATTGAGGAATACTCAAGGGAGGCTTGAACTACCTCTTTCATTAGAGCTAAAGCTTCCATTGAAACATTTTCTCTGTTCCTTCCTTGGAAAAATTTCAAGGGGATCGACATTTTTCTGAAACACGGGTCCATCCCCCCAAAAAATAAATTCTGCCACAACTTCAGCAAGCCAAACCCAGTGTTTGTAGAAAAGAAGTTTTAGTTACTTCAGTGAAAAGCTACATGAAAGTGCAAGAAAAAACAAGGGGAATGCTTTCTAATTTCTTGGCAATATAAAATGTTTCATTCCCCTTTTGGGGAAAGAAAATAGAGAAGGATGGAAGCAAAACCCAAAACCACAAACTGCCAAACACAGCCCTGCTGCCCTTCCCAGGAGCTGGGATGGAGCACAGAGACCTCCCCCACCCCACCCAGATTTATGCCAGCTGGAGACCTGTCCTGGTGATCACAGACAAAACTATCAGGAAACACCTAAACTTTATGCAAACATGTTCTGCTAACTCCGGAGCGGGATCTGAGCCGCCTTTCAAATCTGAGTTCACTTGCAGGATCTTTGCCCAGGGTCGGGACAAGATGAATTATTAATAAATTAGCCAGTTATTACCAGATTGGGTGTGCCTTGCATTAAAAACAACAAATCCCCCGCACCTGAATGAGGAAGCATCTCTCACAGACCTTGATTGAAGTCCAGGTGTATGGAGGTGTCAGTGGAGCAGGTTCTGGTTGTGAAAGATTCTGGTCATCAAGTTAATCTGTTGTCATCAGCTCCCAGGGTTGACTTCTGAAAGCGTATAAAAGCCTCCCCTTTGGGAGGTTTATTAACCTGAGTGGCTTCTTCTTCCATTTCTCTAACAGCAGGAGACACCAGGTGAGTCCTTCTATGCACATTTATCTATATAGGTGGGGGTTTCTGGTGCTCTGTTCTTGGGAGCTGGGGTGATTTTTCTTTATTTTGTTTCTCTAGTGACAGTTTCAGCTCATCTCCCTGGTAATTTCCCCTCCATACAGGTGAAAGCTGTATTATGGTATTTTGAGACTTCCTGAGGCTCCAGACAGTGGCTTGCTGGCTCTTTGGACCAGCAAACCCTTGTCAACCCTCATAATTTTTCCCCAACTGATAAGAATCCTTGTGGATAACCACTGGGTGTTGAGTATCAGCTACCAAAGGATGGCATTCCCTGGCAGCTTGTTTTGCGGCTGTTGAGCAGCAAAAAAAACTGCAGTCTGCTGGATCTCCAGGGCTCTGAGTTTCACTTTTTTGTATAAAATCGTATCATCACTGAGCAGGAGGACAGTTCACCTGCATTAAACAGCCAGAGATGCGGCTGCCACTCTGAGGCTTCCAATGAACTAAGCAGAGATCTGGCTGTTGCCAGAAGGGATTGTTATCAAACGACTCTTCTCTTTCAAAACCACTTGCAATACTGCAATGACACTAGCATTCTGCTCCTCTTTGACTAGTTTTAAATATTGCTCCGAGGTTCTCCTTGAACTAAGCATGCTTTCATTAAAATTTGTATTGCTTCTTAGCTTGGCAAAGTTGAAATGTTCAGAAAATAGTGAGCAGAGGGAAAGAAGGAAACCCCCTCTCGTTGTTTCTCTTCCCTTCACCCCTGTAGCCATTGACCTCTTTGGATCACAACTCTGTTAGGATGGTGCTTGCCTCTTATATTCATTTATGCTTATATACAGTTATGCCCTGAGGCTCAGCAGAGTGGCTGATCTCCACGGAGGCTAACTGTGATGGGAGCCCAGAAAAGCAATATGGGGCAGCTACAGCAAACTGGAGTCACCAACACAGATTTGGTCTGAATACCAGCATCCTCAGGGACTTCCAAGGGTGGTGTTTTTTTTTTTTTTGCTGGTAGGATTAACTTTTAAAGGCTCTTCACTGTTGGTTTGATGTCAAAGCTGAGGAACTGACTGAAAGTGTAATATCCAGAAAGAAGAAATGTGTAGGGCTTAAAATAACTGAAATGGCACCTTGGTTTTCTTCCAGGCTTAGCAAAGATGTCTTCCCACCAGCAGAAACAGCAGCAGCAAATACCTTCAAAATGCCAGGAAAAGTGTCCCCCGAAGTGTGGGGAGCAATGCCAGCCCCCAAAAGGGCAAGCCAAGTGTCCTGTGAAGAGCATCCCGCAGCAGCAACAGCAGCAGCAATGCCCAAAGCAGAAGTAGCACTAACAGCAATGGCCGCAAAGTGCCGTGGAAGATGCAAATGCTTATTTCCAAGCTTTCCTTCTGTCTGCTGGCTCTGCCAGAATAGCTAGAAATTTGCAGCACGCCTCCTTCGTTTGCAAACAGAAATTACTTTACAAAGAGATGCAATTCATTACCTTGGATTAATTCATTCTCTACTATATTAAAAAAAAAAAGTTGTCAGGCCATTTTCTTCTCATCTTTAATTTGGGACATGCTACAATAAAACTATAAGTAACCTCATTGCTTGGTTCCTGATATCTTTTTCACTTTACTAGTGTCATTCATTCTCTCTTTTTTTTTGTTCTTTTTTTTTTTTCTTTTATTAGCCAAAGCGTTACCTTTAAACATACACTTGTATACAAGGCACACATACACAGGGACCCATGCACATTTGCCTTCCAGATTTCCCAGGGAATTATTTCTCCATATTTTTATTCGAGATAGATCCAGAAACCTACAGCTTCTGGATAACCAAGTAGACCAGAAATGTGAAACGTCTAGAGCAAACAGGACATAAAATGATCACAATTTCTGGAAAAACCATTTAAATTCAGGGTCCTTTGGGGCAGAGCTGCTGCCTGGGTGTCAGAACTGGCTCAGGATCAATGTGCTTCCCATCTCAGGGCAATCTTGCAAGTTGTTTTCATCCTGAACTGGAGCAAACTGGGTAAACTCAGTTTTCTGCAAGATACGATATTCTGAAGTATATTCTTGTGGGTCTATCAAAACAATTAATCGTGGTTTTAGACTCTCAACTATACTATAATTGCTGAGAGGAAAACAGTCTTTGGGAGTTTTTAACAGTGAAAGGAAGCTTTTGCTTGCTCAGAATGAATAGTTTCTATTTTAAAAGGATCCGAAAGAGGTTTCAGAATGTTTTGGTTTCTCAGCAGGACATACTGCCTCAGCTAATTGATTTCTAGTCAGCTGTATGGCAGAGTGGAGGAAGAAAATTATAAATAGAGAAACTGTTGAGCGATACGATACCGGTGTCTGGCAGACAGACACAAGCTCGCTCTGCAAACCAGAAGCTGTGTGTCTCAGTGCGACTCTGTGATCAGACGATGAGGTTGGATGTATCTAACGCCCATCTAACAGGTACAGTGCCAGACCAGTCGGATTACATCACTCCTGGCTCATCTGAAGTGTGGGAAAAACTCATTTGCTTGTGCTTGCAACCTGCCTCGTAGACATGCCCGTGCCTTATGTCTGCTGACGGTGGCAGAGTGGCTGTGAATATGTTTAACTTGGGCAGATTGACCATCGGGACAGCTTGGTGTGAGCCAACGCCTCCTGCCGTGCTCTGGGACGGGGTGTTTTGCTGAGAGGTGTTTCAGTGCAATTAGTATTCCAGTGCTATCGGCCCACCCATGGGCCGACGCAGTGCAGGGACTCTCTAACCTGGGCACCTGGAGAGGAGCAGCGGACCCAGGGTCCCCTGCGAGCACCCGAGTTTCTGAGTCCTGATTTGCCCAGCTTTGAGCCTAAAAAGTGTCCGACTATTGCAAGCTGAGGCTCCTTTTCATCTTTTTTAAGCAGAAGCTATTAAAAATCTCCACAACTTGGTATTCAAAGTCATTTTTATTGTTGATTTTCACAGTGAAATAAATCCTGGATACAATATCAGCCTAAAATAATTAGAGATAAGTACCAAATACATATGCAACAACACTGTGTGGTGACACATGTTCCAGGGTGTAATTGAGTATGCTTCCTCCTTTATCCTGTGTAACAGATGGAAGCCACACCTGAGGTTAATCTATTTCAAAACATGTCTGGATTAGATGTAATTATCTATATATTTTCCATAAATAATCTCAGCTTGAGCTGTTCTTTTACACATCCTAGAAAATCCAAGGTGAGCTCTCTGAGGAAAGCGCTGATTACTACCAATTCAGCTAAGCAGATAATTAAGAGGTGATGTGTAAAAATCTTTCTATTTCCTCTAGCCCAAAGGGTTTTTTTTAATTGCATAAAATATTCAGCACTATGGATTCATGATTCAGAAAGTCTTGTTGCCATTGACCAGAGCCCCTTAGCAGCAGGGTTTTCACAAATCTCAAATCCTATTATTAATAGGCAAAAACCCTGAATGCAAGGTGGGAGATGGCATTCGCGTACAGGGAGCTGGGGAGGAAGGCGTGAAAACCAGGAGGCGGCGCGCGGGTCTGGACGCTGAGCTCTCGGTCCCTAGCTGCGTTTGGGTTAAGTTCGAATATTTAGCTTAAAGAACCCTGACTCGTGCGTGCCATCATGCTCTTTGGTCTCTCTCTGGGCCTTTAAAAGCCAGCGGGATGATTGGGAGAGGGCAGAAATTCAGGCCGCTGGGAAGCTGAACGCACATGCCTACGACACCGCTTGAAGCCTTATTATCTATGGAGAGTCCCGACGTGTCAGTTAGCGTACGGCTGTTAGTATAGGATAACGCTAGCGTTAGCTGGGGGGGGAGTTGGAAGCTGTGCTTCTTGACAGAAATTCTGCAGTGAATAAAAAGGTGTTGGAAAATGACCTCTGGTTGGGAGGTCTGGGTTTGCATTCTTCTTCTCTCTTCAGGGCTTCCCTTGTCAGCTGCAAGTTACTTCTGCATGGGGGGCCACTGGTTGGGCTGCTTCACCTGCTGCTGCTCGATGGGAGGACACTTCTCTGGAAGGGAGCACTTCCCCGGCTCAGGGCAGGGGGCAGGGATCGGCACGGGGATCTCCTTGCACTCCTGCTTCTGTTGGGGACACGGTGCAGGTTCGGGGGATGGGACAGGGATTGGCACAGGGGTCTCCGTGCACTGCTGCTTTTCTTGGGCACATGGTGTGGGTTCAGGGCACGGAACAGGGATTGGCACAGGGGTCTCCTTGCACTCCTGCTTCTCTGGAGGGCATGGGGTGGGCACAGGGATCTCCTTGCACTCCTGCTTCTCCAGCGCACATGGAGTCGGTTCAGAGCAGGAAACAGGGGCTGGCACAGGCAGCTCTTTGCACGCTGATTCCTCATCAGGGGTTGGAACAGGCTTAGGGTACGGTACAGGTGGAAAAGTTGGTGGTAGCTTGCATTGCTGCTGCTGCCTCCGCGCAGCTAACAGGAACTGGCACAGGGATCTCCTTGCACTCCTGCTTCTCCAGCGCACATGGAGTCGGTTCAGAGCAGGAAACAGGGGCTGGCACAGGCAGCTCTTTGCACGCTGATTCCTCATCAGGGGTTGGAACAGGCTTAGGGTACGGTACAGGTGGAAAAGTTGGTGGTAGCTTGCATTGCTGCTGCTGCTGCTGCTCCTGGGGCGGACACTTGGGTATTACGACCACTGGTGTTTCTTCCTTGCCTGGATCCACCACCGGTGTTGGCAATGGCACTGATTTTTCTGGGCATGGTACCACTACTACTGGGACTGGTTCTGGGCAAGGTGTTGGGACTTGGACTTCAGATTGCTGCTGTGGACATGGGACCGGCTCAGCGCAGGGCACAGGCTCTTGGCTTTGCTTTGAAATTGTTTTGCTCAGGCCAGGTGGGAGGGTGATGTCCTGCTTGATTTGCGTTTGATTCAAAGACATCTTTGCAGGAAACAAGATTATCTGAAAGAAATGCCAGAGTGTTATTGTGTCTGCTAAATGAACTGCATTGGGATAAGGGTGAAACGATTATAAGAAACATGAATCAGCTGCAAGAGTAAAGTTCTCTTAATTTGCCCTTGGTTTCCCAAGGCAGGTTGGCTCAGAAAGAATTATGATTTGCTCTTTCTTTTTCTTCCTGCTCCTGCTCTGACTCTCACTTATCTTGTTCCTCCTTTCTGTTCTGCAATGTGGGACAGCCCTGTCAGGTCTGAGGTAGAGCCACTCCTTTGAACTTGGAGCTGATTTACACTTCAGAGCTCTTCCTCCTGTTGCTTAGCTCTTCCCAACGTGTTAACTCCCTTTCATTTCTGTCCTGGGAAATTGATGAGAGGAGCTGGCAAATAACAGATCTGCTGGTTTGATAGCGGTTTCAGAAAGCCAAAATAATAATAATAAAAAAAAAGAATGCTGAAGACAAATATTTAAAAACATTTGGTGTATCAAAAAGTAGAAGAATATAAATCTGCACCCAACAGGATATTTTACGTTGACAAAACTGGAATACTTAATTTGATTTTGGCCCTTTTAAAATGGTTTCCAGATTTTACTTGGAATTAGAAACCTGAGGTGCTAAGGCCTCAAGGTGGACCTCGCCAGTAAGCTGATATCTTTTTGTAGTATTAAGAGTCGTTTCGGTAACAATAGGCCAACTCCTCCTCTTGCTCTGGTTTCACTCTGACTTCATTGACTATGTAGTGGATTGAGGTTACCTGTGGCACAGCCCTTCCAACTGTCATGGAAAGAATTAGCAGTGGTAACGCGTCCCTATGTTTCTGGATTATCATGGCCACTAATAATACCTGTAGCTTGCATGAATCAGAATAATCAGGAGGGATTTCTTCTCCCAAGGCCAGTCATGTGCAACAGGCCAAATGGCGTTTCCTAACAATTTATGAAACTGCCTCTGTTTTGTAGGCTGCTGAAGGCAGGCACCAGGCTCAGCTGGATTGGTGCTGTGTCTTTGGTAAAGCCTGTATTGCTGTTTTTCTAAAGACAATCTAAGGGCACAAATAAAAGGTTAGAATCACAGAAGTGTTGGTTGTAAGGGGCATTTTTAAGGCAGGACTAGCACCAACACAGGTCATTTGAGAGTGTGCAAGTTTGTTCTCCCTTCCCCATGTTGCCTACGTCTCTCAGCACATCTTCAAAGCAAATTCATTCCTCTCTTCTACATCCTCCTAGATCCTCCAGATCAATATCACTTATCTCTCGCTATTTTCTTTATAAGGACCTGATAAGATCTTAAGCCAAATTAATATATTGCTCTTGACATGGTTAGCATGAATGAGACAGCACACTAGGAATACTTTCACCCTTCTGCTTCCTACAGCCCCTCATACTCCCAAATCTATCTTTTACAAAGTAATTCTTCAATGAAATTGAAGTTTTAAAAACGTTCTTGTTATAAATAGCAGAATCACAGAAAACAGATTCGGAAGGAGAATTTAGACCTTCCCTGAAGGCAGGATCAGTTATACTTAAACCAACATAATTTTATCTAATCTCTTCTTCAGAAAGGGTCTAATTTAGCACTTAACTATCCTCAGATTTACACGCAATCTGAATTTGCCTTGCAGAGTCATTCCAAGACTGCTTGTCCTACCCCAATGCCCACAATTTCTCTTCTTTGCAGGAATCTTTTGCATATTCAAAGGTATCAAATAAAACACTTCTTTAAAGAGTCTGCCTACATTAAACCAAGCAGTAAAATTATAGACATCACAAAAAAGTATCAGTATTCTCTGACTTACCCAACCAGTCAACAGGGAGAAGAACGAAGTCGAGTGGATGGTGGAGCATGGAGATTTGAGAACTTTTATATGGTTTCAAAGCCCTGCCTTCTGGGAATGAGTCCTCCTAGGTAATGAGCTCATTCTTTCACAACTGCCGTTGTGCATTTCCTCCACAGACTTGTTTTACACGTAGGCATTGTGAAGAGAGGCTTTTGGTACAGAATGCTTTTTAATCCCCTTTCTGACTAATCCGATTTAACAAAAAACTTTCTGTCTGAATAAAGGTCGTACCCTCAGGTTAATACATTCATTGCAGACCCCATTGAGATCAGGGGTCTTGGTGTGGTGTCAACCAGCATGATTCCAGTTCAACCCATGCAACTGAGTCATTTCATGTCAGCTAATGCCCCCGCTTCTTAGGATGCATTTGTAGCTTAAGACAGGGGGGCTAATCCGTACTTCTCTCACCTGCTTTTCAACAATGAATTCTCTAAAGTGACTTCCTTGTGATTCTATAAACTCGTGATGGATGGGATTTTTTTTTTTCCCGTTAAGATGTTCATAGATCTCATTCTTCTTTCATTTCAGAACAGATAATGTTGAATGCATGTTATTTTCCTTGGTACAGAAGATGCAGCTCCCACCCATCTAAATGTGACAGAAGAGGGAACTGAGTTTATCTCCATGTATCATGTGAAAAGTAAAGGGATTTTTTAATAGTATACAAGATTTATCACATCCAAATGGAATTTGGACACTGGTCTCATTTAGGTGCCAGGATGGTATTTGAAAAGATGTTTCAATCTACATGTGAAATAAAGGGAGCTTGTAGCGTTTATTCCTTAAGCGTTATTCCATGTAAAAAAACCGTTTATTGAGTGAAAATAGCTCAAAATCTCAGGGAGCTATCAGGATACAAGTCAAACAGTCCTCGTTTCTGATGGTAGGATTATTTTCAGCAGCGGAGACGACGCGTCCCACACAGAGGTGAATTTCATCATATTTGGTTGTCTTGGGACTATCTTTGTCCTGTCTCCACCATTTTACCAGAGCTTTTATCAGAGCACGCACTCCAGATGCAATCGTTGCAACCGGCTGAGCTGGTACCCGTCACCGGCTGGGATTCCTGGGCTGCAAATGTAAGAAGCTGTTTCTAGCTGTGGTGTAACTTCTTCTGTTAATAATCATTTGGCAACTGAAGGACAGAACACCTGAATTTTAGACCACATCTTCTTCTCCTATAGTGTGACTTCATCCGTGCAACTTCCTTTCTTGCCTCATGGCAGGTGGGGCCCTGCCTCGCTGCCTGCATGGCTGGCCCTGGAAGCTGCTTAGTTTTAGTCGCCGTCCTTTGCTAGCCAGGGGAATATCCCAGCCCAAGACCTAACCCTGACTCAGGCCTCACCTGCTGCTCTGCTGGTACAAATTGCAGTCGTAGCTCTGCTGAAGGCAGGAACTAGGACACTTTCCAGCAGTGGAGAACCTGCCTGTCTGCTTTCTAGGTAGCATCATGCTTCGCGGTTATCAAAATAGCCCTTCTGCTGAGATACGCTCCTGGAATATAGCCCTTCAAAGCAGGAAGATAGAGGGAATAAGCTCAGACATAACAAAAGTGGTTTTTAACATTGCACTCGTTGGCCTGAAGGGGACAGAGCAGCTGGGTTCGAAAGGAGACGGTGCATTTCATTAGGTCAAACATTGCATTTGAATATTTGTGCAATATTCACAAGTGAATATGCATCTTCAGGTCAGAGCTTCAGTAACCTTTGTTATGTCCATAAGTTGGAGCACCTGAGAGAAACAGGGCACGTAGCACTTGTGGAACAGTGTTGAGGCAAAGACTGTACAGCCATGGCTCTGTGTTGAGACATTGCTTTTATTTAAGCAAGCAGTGAGGTTTCTGGAATATTTAGGTGTCAAATTTCCAGCCTCAGCTTGCAACATCGCGTGATTAAAGAAAATCACTTTCTATAGCTGGAAGGGAGACGACCTGAACCCTGTCTGGAGATCAGAAGGTGGGGCCATCCTGACCTTAAACACTGGTTTGGATCCAGGTCTGGAGAGGCTTGGGGAGGTCACTTCACCTCCATGTCAGCAACCTCAGCAGAAAAATGATGGTAATTATCATTGAAGAGGCTCTGAAGTCAGCCCGTGGAAAGGGAGTGAATGTTTTTCCCATAGTGGAGGGGTAATTGCTTTCCCCTTCCATGTGAATTGCACAAAGACTATTTTTAGAGGCAAATGCCATATGCAGTGAAACCTGCCTTACTGAAACGTTTGGGAAATTACAGGAGAAACGTGCATTCAGTAAGGTGGCTTTGCAGTGAACGTGGAGCTAAGCAGCTCCTCAGCTCTCACCTGGCGGAGCCCGGCTCAGCTCCCAGTCAACACTGAACTTGTACCACTAATTCCAGGGAACACAAGACCACAAGTGAGAGAAATACTGGCCCGAGCCCATCCTTCCTAGACAGAAAATGCTACTCCAGCTCCCACACAGCTTGGGTAGGTGCTGTGCTGCTATCAGCCCATCAGCGGCCTTGCAAATGCTGATCAGGTAATTAAGTCCCCAAAAGCCTAGGACGCCCTGGGAGGCATGCAGCAGCTATGCTAGCAGTTCTGAATGGAGGTCTGTAGCTGTCAACTTTATCTGGCTTATCATTGAGATGAGTGTCTCAATATCTCTAAGGGTCCTGAAGCTGTATTTCTTCAGTCTGAAAAAAATGATCAGCTTTTTTAGAAGTGAAGACCACCGCAGAGAACCTCAGCTCAGGATGTGAAATGCTCACTGTGATCCTCACCTCATGTCTGCATGGATGCTCTTTGATTTTTCCCCGTCCAATACTTTGAACCTTTGTGCACAGAGAAAACGATCCGAGGAAACTATTGCACTCCTGGATTTCACGTCCTGGTGTGATTCAGAAGTTGCTGAACTGGATCTCTCAAGACATGGCTCGCCCTCATGGCTTAATTAGACACTATTTCGTTAACACCCCATCTTGTTCTTTATTATTGTGTCTGTCATCATTTTAAAGTGGACATCTTGATTAACTCATCTCACGAGACAAAAGACATAATTATCTGTTACTGAATTTCCTAGTATCGGTCTGTCTGCCTGCGAGTCCAGTCACTAAAGCATCTTCTCTCCTTGTGCTGTAGACTGAGTGTCAAGCCATGTAACAGAAGACAAGAAGCTGGTCACCCATAGGG